ATGCTCCCACCCAATTTAGTGTCATCTGCAATGACACTAAATCCTCTCATCCAGATCATTGATAAAGATGTCAAACAAGACTGGTCCCAGTGCTGAGCCCTGGGGGACACCACTTGTGACCGGCCACCAGCTGGATTTAAGATTAGGGATATTGATAAGCCAGTGCTTATAACTAGGCTTTATTCCCATGATAGAAGTACTGGAACTGGTGATCTTGGTCTCACAGGTACTATCTTTAAAAGCTTCTTTCAGTCTGGGCTTGGCTAACAACTGCAACCAACGTTTAGAAAGGGGGAATTGTGTAAAAGCAATCAGGTATTTTTTTTTCTTTTTAGCTCTGAATTCTGTTAGTCTCTCATGAAAGAAGGTCCAAACTTCCTGTCTAGAAAGCAAGCTGGGGTACTTAAAACACAATCTGCCCCCTTTAGCAGAAGGGCAGTGAAGGTGGAGAAGAGTGACCTGTGGTGCAACAGCAGCAGTGAGCCAGGAGGATTGTGGCTGTCCTGCAGGGAATGACAGGCATTGTCGTCGACTCCTTTACTTGTCTGGAACGCCAGACAGGGAAAGCCCGTTGGTAGCTGTGGAGGCCGGTATCAAATCCTTAAGATTACTAACTGATCTAGCATGCTGAGATCTAGTTTTTCTTGCATGGACATAAGGATTGAGGAAGGTAAGAATGAATCTACCTCTTTATGTAGGAAGGTGATGCTTCAACGTGCCTCGTAGCAGAGCCGTGTGCATTTTCTATCTGGTGGCTTTTCCATTATCTTAAAGGAAACTTCCATTGTTTATCATTAGGTACATTAAAATAGACTTATTGACTGTTTGGCCCATCTTAATTTGCCAATCAGTTAAATTGGCTGTTCTATAGCAGGGAGTGAGAAATACCCAAAAGACAGAATTCTGCTGGAAGCCATTTTAAGAGGGTGGGAAGAAAACAGGTACTAAAAGATAATGGTTCTTGGCCAGGACATACCATGTCCTCATGGACTTGAGTTCTAAATTAACAGTGTACCTTACTTTTCTAGGCTTCCTTGGCAGAAACAGACAAAATTACGTTGGAGGTTGCCAAGCTGATAAAAGATGACTTCTTGCAACAGAACGGTTATACGCCTTATGACAGGTGAGATCTGACAGGCCACTCTGCCCTCTTGGTCCTGTGTAGCCTGGATTTAGACAGCTATTTTATTTGGAAATGGATCAGTGCAGAAATTAATTTTACTCACCAAAAACAAATGGAAGAACTGTGCTTAGATAGGCCATCAGTGTATTCACCTTGTCTTACCCAAGGCACACAGACCTTTTCCGAATGCAGTCACGCCCTTTGAGTTTCTCAGGCCCTGTGTTCAGTTAGCCAGTATTTCTGCAATAGTAGGTCCTGAGGAGGAGAAGAGGACCACTTTATTTTCATAGTCAAGACCCAAAGTCTTCCTGTTTATTCTAGCAATGCATGGGGGACTGCAAGAATCTGTTTTTGGTTACTGCTGGATAATTCTTGACTAAGTTTGATCCATCAAAAAAACTTACTGGATCTTTTCCCTAGTGCAATGCTTACTATCCCTCTGTGCTTTGCTTTTTTCCTTGCTATCCTTGTGTTCTAACAGCCTGACAAGGGGCCTTTTGTACTTCATCTCGCTCTCCAGCCCAGGTAGATCAGGAGGTCTTGAATACTTCATCACTGGAAAAACTAGATGCACATCATTCTGCAATGGTGTGTGTGCCCGTGATTAGGTTACTAGGGCAGGTATGCTTGTGTGCGATAGGGAAGCACAAGAAGTAGCACAATGTAGTATATAAATAATAATGAGCTACCTTCCGTGGCAGTCATCTACCCATTAAAAATGGAGCTTTTTGTGTATGGAGTGCTCCTGCCATGGAAATACTCCCTTTCCTGTGAGCGAAGAAACTTGCAGAGCTGTCAGGTCATGCCAGGCTGCTTGGAGGAAGCCTGCTCCCCTGATGGACGAAACAGCAAGGAGGAGTTTTGGTGGCTGCCCTGGTGTTTTCCCTTTCTCGTTAGCATTGGCACAGATTGAAATGTGAGACTGGCAACAGTGATGGTTCCTGTTCTCTCCTGTTTTGCCCACTGTTTGGGTGCTGCTTCAGAAGTCTCACTTCAGGATGATTGTCTTAGCCTATGATTCACCTATTTAAAAATGTGGGACCTGTCAGAGGCAGTCACTCTGCTTTGACAGTATGTACTAAAAATACCTGGAGTAAAGCAGGCTAGTGCTCCTCTCGGGTGAGAATTCAGAGTCGCTGCGAAGGCAGGAGCAAAGGCTAGTCCTGTTAACTGTTCCAAGATGCCTGACAGATCCTCTTCTGTTCCATCAGGTTCTGCCCTTTCTATAAAACAGTGGGAATGCTTTCCAATATGATTGCATTTTATGACATGGCACGCCGTGCCGTAGAAACCACAGCCCAGAGTGACAACAAGATCACGTGGTCCATCATCCGAGAGAACATGAGTGAAATCCTCTACAGACTTACCTCCATGAAGTTCAAGGTATGTTTGTAAGGAACTGGCTTGTGCTGCTTTTTGTGAGCTTCCAGCGCCTCTGGAAGGCTGTTACTCAAAGGTGGACATGAGTTGCCTTAGATAAAGGCCTACGAACAGAGACTTTTTGCAATCATTTTGAATACACTTAAGAACTGGTTTTAGTCTGTGAGCACAGGAACGGACAGTAAGAAATCTAGTCGGGTGATGCTGGCTGCAGTGCCTTGGCAACCCCACCTTCAATAGTCTCTTTTATGCTACATATATTCGTGGTAGGTAGTACAAGCACCTTTCCTGTTTGTTTGGGGGGGTTTGTGATAAAATTCTGTGTGGAGAGAAATGTTCTTGCCAGATAAAAGCAGCCTAAAGTTTAAATCCAGGAATGTGCTAAAAAGCGAATGATGAAATGTTAATTGAGCTATTTTGAATAGAAGTTAAGGGAAGAAATGCTGGTGGTCTGCAGTAATACATGGTGTGCCCTGTGTTTGGCTGCAGGGCCTAAGGCAGGTAACTAGGAGGAGAGGAAGGGACGAGTAACTTCAACACGTGCTAAAGAGAAAACAAGTGGCTTGGAGCACCTGCTCTGCGTCACATCAGTGGCCATCTTTTTAGAGTACAGCTTTCCTAAAACTGGTCTGGAGTGTGCTGGTGTGGCAGTTACTGGTAGGAGAGTAACCTGTGATGCTGCCTGATGTTAAAGCAGCTAAGGAATATTCTTCATAAAGTATAATGCTTACTCTGTTATAACTCTTAAAAGCCAATATTGCAGATTTTTCAAGAACGAGTACTATAAGGTAAAATTATGTTTAAAATTAAGCGTTCTGGTTGCCAGTGTATTCTGTTCCCTCAGGTTACTGGCTTGCTTCTGCAGTACGTGAATCCCTGGTCTATATTCTCAAAGCATCAAGAACATAAGATACACTTGGGGATGTGAGCTTCTTTGAGAGCTGGTTATGTAGAGATAGGGGAAGTAATACACTTTTTACAAACCCTGGCAGACATCTGGCATGCAGCGGAGCGGTGGACAGCATGGCTGAAAAAGGGAATCCAGAGGGTGAATACATGTTAAGTGGAGGCAGCCCTCTAATACAGTACTACAACTATATAGTTATGAAAGGAAAACTTGTATTTCCTGGGTAACAGTCTAAAAGGCGTGAGAATTTAAACCTCTTGCATCCTGCGGTCTGTGTACTTTGGAGAGAGTGAAGAAGTAACGTATCCACACATGTAAGTCTCCTGTATTTCCCAAGAGCTGCACTGACCCAGAGGAATGTAGCGCTGAGAGGGGAATGGTGAAGATTTTGAACAGATTGCACAGCTTGGCAGTTAATGCTTCTTGCAGGGAAGGCCCTGCAGCCTCAGAGCAAAGCTGATTGTTACATTTTTTGGCCTTGTCTTTCATGAAAAGTATTCTGAGAAAATGAAGCTGTACAAAGATGATGTTGAGCTTGTTATGATTTCACAATAAGCTTTTAGTTGGAACCGAGCAATCTCTGAGTGATGGCAAAGTAACTCTTGCACTTAGAGGGGATGCACCCTGAAAAGTACAGCAGAGCATTTCTGAGTCACAAAGATCCTTACTCTGTTCAGTTTGGGGGTAGGAGCTGGTACCAATCACTGCAGCTCTTGAATCACACAGCATTAACTAAGACCCTCAGTGTTGTTGAATGCTCTCCAAATCGGTTGCTTTTCAATAAAGTAACCACTGCTCATGAAAAAAATTCACTGTCCAGTATCAGTTCTGCCTGCTCGCTGAACATGGAAAGAGGATGAGATTTAAACCGTATGGCTGTTGGTGAGACAGACAGGAGACAGGGATGGAGCTACAATGCCTGCTCTGCAGTTAGCAAGCATTAATCCTGAGGTCGAGAAATTACAGCACTGGCAAAGTAGGGTTTTGTACACAAGTACACAAAGTACACAAGGCTTTTCCTGACCACTTGCTGCGTTGTCTTTCAGGACCCTGTCAAAGATGGTGAAACAAAAATCAAGGCAGACTACGCTCAGCTGTTTGAGGATATGCAGAATGCATTTCGCAGTCTGGAAGACTAGACTCGACCTCTACGACCACTCCAGTTTGTCCTCTCGATTCCTCATCTCAACTCCTCTGCTTCCCTACCTTACAAGAATGATGCAACAGTACTTGAGTTGATAAATAGCCCTGTGTTTTCCCTGTTCATACTTGGAGACTGTCCTTACGAAACATTCCTCTTTGTGTTTGGCATTGCTTTGTGTGTCTGAAATGGCGAGTGATGTGTGATTGGGCCTGGCTGAGTGAGGAAACGCTGTTGTACACTTCTAGGGTGGGAAAAAATTCACCTTCCCTCTCCCAGCTCTCTTGGTAACCAGTCTTTCACCTTGGGCTGTAACCAATTGAGCTGTATTGACAGAGGAGGTGCAGATCTCAGTGCAGTCACACGGTACGTTCTGAGCTGGCAGTGGTAAGGACACTTACATCTGGCACTTTGCTAAGTGACTATCATGATGTAAAGTCCCTATTCTCAAACAGAATTTCTGACCATATTCTGATGACACGTTGATACAACCAAAAAATTTTCACTACTCTCTCCCTTCTGCAACCCTCAGCTGAGTCTGTTGGTATTGAAACGTGGTAGTTCTGGATCTCCCCAAGAAGGGACTAACTAGAAGATGAGCACGTATAAGCGACCAGTATACTTTTGTACACTGGAAAAGTAGAGTTTTATTTTCCTACTTAATACAGATAGGACTGTTGGACTCAGCATCAGCTAAAATCAAAGCCATAGGTGCTCAGCTTCCAGCAGAATTTTACCTTCTTGCCTCCCACTCACCCCATAAAATCTCACGACACTCAGTTGCTTTAGTCTGTGAAGCTTGTGACCGCTGCCGTGTACTGCAGGACATAGATAGCAAGTTCTGGTGATGCCACGTGCATGGACCAGGAACGTGGTCCTTCCTCGGTGGTGCTCTGCCTGCCCGTGCAGTTGCCTCCTGGTGCGATGCCCAGGCCATGCTAAGGAAAGGAAAGTGTGTGCTGAGCCTTCCTCCTCCACCTGTGCTCACCTGGCCTGTTTGGTGGCAGCACAGAAGGTTCCCAGTTCTTGTGTAGGAGGAATGTATGATGCTAAACTGGGGGCGGGGGATGAATAGGGGGAAGGCTGACAAGTACAAAATGTATTTACTCCTGCCTCGTTGATCGTGATGCAAGAGCAACCAGTGACTCTGGTCTTCCGCTCTGTGCTGTGGAAGCACTCTGTCAAGCGGCCGAAACTGCTGCATCTTGGGCTTGTTTATGGGCAAAACTAGTATGAGATGAGGAATGAGCATAGAGCAGCCTTTCTGTCAAACTCCAAGAGCCCAGCACTCGTACCATTGCTGCAGAGTGGGACAGAGAGAGACATGCGGGCATCCTCTCCAGT